CCCCCCCCCCCCCCCCTCCTGCGTAAAGGACCTTTCTCAAGAACACAAAGTTGGGCCCCTGACGGGGCTCGAACCCTTGACCTTTGGGAGACTATCCTGGCATCTTAACCTCAAGACGAACGACGCCATTGTGACCCCATCATTGTTTCACAAAGTGTGCTGCAGTTCAACAATAATGCTTGTTATGAGGCATCCAGACTGTGAGGGAAACGTAACGATGACACATTAAAAAAATCATGTTTGAATATTTGGAACTCGCACCAGGTGAGCACGAGGCTGAGAATGTCGGTATAATAAACAGTCACTCTTGTCCCGTGTTTGCCAACAGGGGCGATTAGGTTACTTTTTATAAGTGAAGAGTAAAAAAGGGGAGAAGAGTGGGGTTTTCTTCATGCTGCGTTGGAAATGCATGCGAGTGTGTGGCACGAAAATTAATGCTAGCCTCTTACAGGTGGCAAACGTGGACGCTGGCTATTTAAAAGAAAGTTGGCACACACTTCAAGTCAAAAAAACATACTTACGGGCATGATAATAGATCTATGACGAAAGTCGTGCGCTGTATCGCCGATGAAAGGTTTGTGTATTATGTTATTTTACAGAATTCATCAGGTGTACTTAACGTCCGGCAGAGGCGGAAACATCTGAGTGCCTAACAGGTTGCCCCGAGGCAAGCCCTTGGATAAAATTAAAATATTGGAATCTCGTTTCTGGATTTATGCGGTAACTCTTCTACGTCTTGTGTTCGTTTTTTTTTAAAGTAAGTGTTTTAAGGCGCTCGCAATGGCATAAGGTCATATAAGCGCGCGGGACACATTAAACGTTTTATATTATTAAGTTGGTAGGATACTTCGAATCTTGCCCTGGTGGCGGCCGAAGCCTACCCTCATCGATTTTGGACCACCAAGGGATCTTTAACGTGCACAACCTGTTCACGGGACCTCGGAGATTTTTAACCCTTGTCGGAGAAGGCAAGGTGTAGATCTTTCCTACCAGAAGATCAGGATGGAGGCTGAAAGTGAAAGAAGGAGCCAAGGAGTAGGAGTAGAAAGGCTGCAGAAAGAGTCATGAGCCCAGAGGAGGGGGCAAAGGACGTGAGGGGTGGGGGTCAGAAAGTTGGGACGGACGCAGGCGACAGAACATGGCTAGAACAGCAAAGGAGGTGAAAGGAGACAATTTTAGAGAACATGCATTTCCGTTGCTGTCCGGATTCGAACCCGGGACCTATTGAGTGGGAGGCGAACACCTTAACTTCTTGGCCACGAGAGCCCCACCTCTTCGGTTAGGGGGTAGGAAAGGTTAGAAACCGCGAGCATCGTCGATGAGGTGGTTAGGCGTAGCCCTTGCACTTAGAAATGTTTTAAAATCGAAAATCTCGGTTTAACTTCTATGGCCATTATTTTCCTCAGCCTGAGTTAGCCCTGACAGACAGGACCAAAGCCCGCCTCCTATATGATCTAAACTGTGTCAGTGGGGGCGTAGAAACATTTGCATTTAAAAAAACGGTGACTAAAACTTAAACTTAAACCACAGGGCTTAAACATAAAGCATTAGTCAGCCCTCCCTCCCCAGTTATTATTAACCAGCAGAAACAGAGACAGACACAGAGAAAGACACAGGCAGAAAGACAGACAAACGGGTAGACATACAAACACACAGAGAGAGAGAGAGAGAGAGAGAGA